GCCAAAGATGTTAGAATTGTGTCAATGTCCCAATATTTCTGGACCTGACTGTATATTCTAAGGGAAAAGGTATACTTGGATTCCACATTAGAATGTTGACAAATTTAAAAAGGACAAATGAATTTAAGGACACAATTCTCTCTTTCTCGCTATATTCTTTCATCCCACCTTGCTTTCGTTTTGTAGCTTTCCCATCAGGATCATAGCCTGGTGGATAAACAAGTTGTTTGAACTCCTCTGCAAGGTTACCCAGTCGGTAATCCATTTGTTCAATCTTGGGCACTGGAAAATAAGGAAGACTATCTTAGAACAGGTATTTAAAAATACAGAAATAATGGATATTCAAAATAAACAATATATTTTTGAGCTTTAAAGCAACAGAGTTCATGAGCAGACTGTAAAATCTGACTGCATAGGAACAAGTATCAATTATTAATGTTAATTACTGAAATATTTTGATATGTAAAATGACATATCTAAAATAAAGTAAATTGCTGCTTTAAAGAATCAGAAAACAACTAGGAGTTATAACTCAATAGTTGTTGTTTTTTTGCCTCAGCCTTCATTAATTATCAGAAATGACAAGATAATAGTAGATGCTAGACAGGAAACAGAAGGTAAGAATATTTGGCTAACTTAAATACACCAATTAATGTACTGTTTTCAAGAATATGAAGGAAAACTGTTAAACAAGCTCTCACCGTGTCTCAAAACTAATAGTACAGATTGGAACTGGTAATCTAGGCTCTTTTTAAAAAGATCCAAACTACTGATGTAGACACGGAAAAGTGAGCTCTATTTTTATTTATATATTTCTATCTTACTTTATTCATCTTAAAAACAATCCCTACATTCAGAGTTGACTTTCAACTTTCAGGTAAGTATGTATAAATAATGTATAACTCTTATCAGATGTTTGTATTCTTAAATGTTTATAATATATCAAAGCCCACATTAAAAGCAAGCTATGTTATACTAAATTATTCTTGCCTGTCAGATCCTCAGCTTTTTCAGGCTCCATTAAGTCCAGCGCCAATGCTTCCAGATTCATATAATGCTGTTGTAGTACTGGATTTTCAAAGCTCTCACTTCTGTTGAAATCCAGCAAAAAGTGCCAAGAATGTCATAATAATATAGAAATGGAGATTCAAGCACACATTGGTAGATTAAACCCTGCACTTATTTTACTGAAGAATAATTCTTCCTCAAGCCTATCTTTCTGTTTTGAAATGCAATGTGTCTGTAATAAAATGGAATAACTTTTCTCTATAGATCTTAAAATAGAGGAATAGCAGAATATTATGCTATTATCAGTCAGCAGAGCATAACACATAATTGTGTAATGTTTGGTGTTCTGCAAGAGAAAATATTTGATTTTTCTTGCATTACCAAACAACATACATTAATTAACATTGCCAAAAGAAATGTTGTTTAATGAAAACTTGAAGGCTACTTAAGTATAACAAAATTGTGCAATTACTATAAATACAGTTGTGTGCAAAAGAAAGTACATCCTCTTTGAGTTCTATGGATTTACGTATCAGGACATAATAAAACTCATCTGGTCCTTAGCAGTTCTCAAAAGTAGGTAAATACAACCTCAGATGAACAACAACACATATTACAACATGTCATTTATTTTACAAAAAGAAAGCCAAAATGGAGAAGCCATGTGTGAAAAACTAAGTACACCCTTACTGCTTCCATATGTATGAAGAGGTAAGGGGGACGTGGTGGTACAGTGGCTTAATGACACTG